AAACAGAAGATCTTTCCCCATCTAATTCCTTCCTACCTAATTTTTGCTGTCATTTTTCTCTTTCGCACACCTGCAGACATCTTTTTCTGCAGGCAGTTTAAAGACGCCACTCTTCATATAATTGGGGGGATGCGTTTTTTCAGCCGTCTCCATGCGGCTGCTCCCTGCCTGCTGTAAATCTTCCTGTCAGTAGGTGAGCTGTAATACGAGCTGGACAGCAGGCCTCACATGTCCTGTTTTGGCTGCTTGTTTGCTGACCCCTTTTCAGTGTTGCAGTAGGTGCACAGCCTGCCTCGTCCAGTCCAAAGTTAAGTTTAGCTTGCTCCTCAGTCGTCCTGTAGACATGATGATCTCAGGACCTGCTGGTTACATCGGACACCTGATGATCCATCATTAAAACCAGCAAAGTGAAAAGAAAAGGCTTTGATGGGAAACAAGTCCTAGTTTAAAGATTTCTACCATGATCATCTGATGTGATAATTGTCTGTGCAGATTCAGTAGCCATTGTATTAATCAACAGTTTAGTGATCAGATTATTCAGTGGAGTAAACAAACTCACTTAGAGCAGTGATTTGGGCAAAACTACAGGATATATATACTGTTTGGATTAAAGAATAAAAACCTTCTTTTAAATATTTTTTATTCTCAGCTCCTCAAGCGTCGTAGTTTGTGGTTCAGATTTAATAAAGAAATCTGTGACACACCTGTTGCCATCAGGTTATTAATCTCTTCTTAAAAACAAGGAAACAAGCAGACCTGAAGATGCCACTTTGAGAAACAAGCTGCTCGTTGTTAAAGAGCTGGAAAGCAGCAGCTGTTTCTGTAAGTTATTCTTTCTCATCTGATATTCCCGCCCAGACGCTCCTGGTCCAGAGAAGTTCTAAAACAGTTTGGTTTCTGGTGTTACACAGCTATGCTGCTGCTTGATGGGATGACAGTGAAGACATGATTAATTCTTACAGGAACTATGCATTGATATCTTTGGACCATAATGCTACTTTCAGACTGCGAGCAGCAGAAGTAGCTAGTTTACATCCAAAGTCAATGGTTGACGCGCATCAAGGCGCAGCAAAAGGTCCTGCAGCGCTTTGAGCAGTAGGTGCAGTGCTTCATGAGCTTCTGAGCATCTGATGGGCGTGTTACACGGGGTACGCCGCCAGTGAACAGGGTCTAGGATAGGATCAAACCCACTTTTTGACCACGCAGCCAGAGCAGCAGAGATGCTTCAGCCGCGTATCAGAACTAATCTTGTACAAGCATCAAAAACGAAGCAGCACGCGCGTTTTTGCTGCTCCTGCTGCATGCGGTCTGAAGGTAGCACAAGGCTCAGTATTCTGCAGGAAGTAAACCAAAACCGCAGCTAAATTCTTGAGTGTATTTTCTACGCTGAATAACTGTTTCTGCATCATTGGTTCATTCATCCATCTGACTGTAGACATGATTTCCTTGGAAAGGTTTTTTTTTTTACAACCTCAGTGTTTCTCCCAGATGTGCAGGAGGAAGTCTCATGTTTCCAATCTTTGGTCCTGGTGCTCCACTGCCCTACAGCTTTTCCATGCATCCCTTTTTTAACACACCTGACACAGACAAACGGTGAACGACCGGTGCTCTGCTAAACCTACAGACATGCCAAGGAGGAAAGTTGGTCTTTTGTTTCCGGTGTATTGGAGCAGGGATGCAGTCAAAGCCTGCAGAGCATTAAGTGCTCCAGGACTGATGTTGCATACCCCCATTATACATCTTCAAAAGGCTGGATGGAGTCTGAATGCATGTAGAAATACCCATACCAGTTAATATCCATGGAGGATTTCTACTTAAGGACAAAAACATTGTGAACAATCCATTGCTAATGTAGAGGAAGAGAAAGATCCTGAGATGAATAATTTAGTTTTATCATCGGCTGTTGGAGTCAGGACAGTTTTCATCCGTTGTTTTTTTTTTTTTAAGTCCGTAAAGCTTTTTGAAGGAGGTAGAGCAGAGTCATTTTGAGATGCTACGTGTCTGCTCATAAAAAAGTTGTAGTTTCTCTTAGAAAAAAATACTTGTAAAACTTGTAAAATGTTGGATTGGACACTGAGGATCTAGAGAGAATAAAAATACATTATTCAGAAAGAAGAGAGGCCAGCAGCCACGTACCATGGCTGACTTGGACAGCTTTTATTGTTATTTTGTACAAACACAGTTTGGTTATGTGCAGCTTTCAGGCAGTGAAATAAGCAGCAGCTTAGCAGTGAAATGAACATTTCCATTTCATTAAGTGCAGCAGTGATTAAATGTAAACAGTGTGGGAGAAAAACATGGGGCTAAATGCATTGATATGGAAGTTCAGAGCGGTACAAAGTAGGGATGAGTATCGGCATGGGTGTTGCCATACTTGGGTCACGATGCAGTATTATTACAATATTGCAATATCACTATATGTTGCAATAGTTTTCCCTGCTGTCAAAATTTAATTTATAGATAAAAAAAGCGAGTGCTGTATATGTTCATCAGAAGATAATGATCATTTAGGTATTTTGGTATCCTTGTTGTTTGGGGGTTTGAGTCAGTCCATGTTTTCCACTGTGACCGCCTCAACTACAGATATGGCGCTTTGCACACAGCAAAAGGGCTGCACAGCGCTACCTGCAAGGGTGGGGCACAGAGGTAGCCCATTTTCTATCATTGTTTTAGGTCACATATTTTTGTTTAAAAAAAAAAAAAACAATACTAGAAACTGAAAGATGGATATTATATCGGGCAGCCAAAAACGCGATATATCGCCAAAAAGATTTTTTCTCAGACTCCTAGTGCAAAGATAAATATATATGGTGCAAAATACAGTAGAAAAACATTTTTTAAGTTGAGTTCTTTTTGGTTTGGTGTCATCAGTGTGATGCAGAATCTGTTGCTTGATTTAGAGTTTCTTTTATCAGTTAAGCTTTCTGATGGTGGTGGGAAAAAGCTGTTGCAGAATCTGCTCGACCTGCATAGAAGGCTGTGAAGCCTCTTCCCAGAGGGCAGCAGGGAAGCCAGTCCATAGTGGGGGGGGGTGAGGGGTAGAGAGCTGTATTAAGCTGCTGCCTAAAGGAGCAGCCATATTGGATCAATCCAGTCATCCCCCGTTTCTGTTTTAGGACGACCATTTTTAAAATCAGAAGATGGTTTCAATTTCTACAGCTAGAAGTAAACTAAGGATCATTGGGGGTCAGATAATGTTTGCCTTTTCTCCCCAGAGTTTGCAGGTCAAATAGGGAAGTATTGCCAAGAGGCTTTGGTGACGGTTCAGAATAGGGCGGGCCAATTAATTGAATTTGCAAAATAATTGCAATTTAACAAAACACAATTTTCAAATCACAGAGGCACCGATTTTTAATCAGACTATACAAAACAAGAGTAAGACGCTAAATCTCTCCCTCCAGCCCTTTAGGTGGTGATTAAACGCTTGAAGTGCGTTTGCCTTCTATCGAAAAGGTAGAGATGCTGGTAAAGATTCTCAGTCATCCAGGTCACAGTCATTCCACAAAAGTTAAAAATCAATCCACTGGATATGTTTCCAAGTTTGAAGACATTTCGCTTCCCATCCAGGAAGCTTTTCATTTCAAAACGTCAGCAAAAACCCCAACCCCTTTACAGGGGCACAGAAAACTTCTCCTGTTCAGCCAAGCCAAATGCAAAATGCATTCTAGGTTTGGTTTAGACTGGTGTTAAACAATGGGGCTGAATCATAACAGCCAAATTCGGGGATGTTGGTTACATTTAGACCCCATTTTCAGTCCTTATTTCAATTAATTTCAATTCAGTTTATTTATATAGCGCCAATTCACAGCATGTCATCTCAAGGCACTTTCCAGTTCAACCAGATCATCCAGTTAGATTAATTCAAAGTTTTCTATCTAAGGAAAATCAGTTGATTGCATCGACTCATTGACTCAAAAACAATCCCTCACACTAAGCATGCTTGTAGCGACAGTGGAGAGAAAAACTCCCTTTTAATATTAAGAAACCTCCAGCTGAACCGGGATCATCTTCCAAAATATATGTCAGGTCTATGATTTTAAGATGGTTGGAGTCAGTCCAGTTGGTCCGGATTATTTGAAGGTGGAGGAGGCCTGTCATGATGGACCCATCATGCTCCAGCTGCTGGTTTGTGATGTGGGCACTAAAACGCCCAGAGACGTTTCTATCAGAAAATAAAACTCCTTTTTATGGGTCTGTTGTATCCTTGGCATGTGCGGCCATTATTCACTCCTCCGGGTTGTTTGAAAATCCCTTTATTGGGCCACAATGGGGAAATTCGTTGCCTGCATTTTGATCCCTCCCCTTGGGGAGCAGTGGGCTGCCATTGTGCAGCGCCCGGGGAGCAGTCGGGGGTTAAGGGTCTTGCTCACCGCACTGCTCTAACACACTAGGCCAACACTCCCCTTGCACATTTGAATGTTTTTACCATCTTAAGGATAAACTTTCCATTAAATTTTTAGATTTTCAAAATTTTCCAATCAAAGTTGAAGCTTCTCCTGCCTTTTTATATATATATATATATTTTTTCTTTCCTGAGTTTCTGAGTAGAGAGCAGGAAGATTTTAACCACTAAACCAAACAAAGTTGGAGCTAATTTAGCTTTATTGATGGCGACACTGACATTGGTCAAATCGATCCCCGATATTAGCTGCTGTTTCACTTGTTTTTTTTCTGTTTTAGCTGCCACTCACATGATAAAAGTAACAATGACAAATGTTTCACTTTAAACATGAAATAAGCTAAATGTTACCCACAGATGGAGGAGAGGGAGCGGCGATGCATGCGCTTCACGTGATCTTACAGCACGGCTGCTGAATGCGCAAATGATTCGGCGAACACTTGCATGCAAATCCATTTTAAAGAAGCGTTTAATGGTGACGGCTATTGCATCCGTGCCGCTTCCTGTAACGTTCCCACTCAGACGTCTGTGGGACGAGTGGCTGGTAGGAGCTGAGTTAGAACAGAGGAGGATTCAGGGTTTCGCTTTTTTCTCTCCACAGGTGCAAGCAGCTCAGGATGTCCACCCACCTCCTCCTCCTCCTCCTCCACCTCCTCCTCCTCCTCCACTGCCCAGGGCTTCTCCCTCGCTGAGCCAGCCATGACCAGCCAGCACACACACACACACCCCTCCTTCAGCTCCATCCACTCCATGGCCGAGCAGCAGCAGGTAAAGGATCTACAGTGATTTTGGGTTTGGGGATGGGGTCAGTTAATGATCTACAGACACAGAACCGTCCACTCTGCAGTTTCAAGCAGGAGGTGGTCCTGTTTATCGTTGTTGTGAGGTTCGTCAGTCCCACCCTTCCTTGAATGCCAGGAACCAACTTCTGCTTTTTACGTGTTGGTCTTAGTTTCAGCTCTGAGCCTCACAGGCTCAGGTCTTTAAGCCCCTGTCACACCTTGACCATTTAGACCAGCAGATGCTTGATGTAGCAAAAATCTAGCAAAAATGCTGGCATACTTAGGATAAGTTATGGGTACGTATTGTATAAGTTATGAGCACGATGAAACAAGCTGAAGCATGCTGGCACACATCGAGAAATTTTGAGTGAGTTCAAAATTTCCCGACATATGCCATCAGTTATCTGATGGTTGACATCCATTCAGTCTCAGTTCCTCATCAGTCATGGCGTCTAGTTTATCCTAAACCTCTGAGTAACTTCTGCGTAACTTATCCAGAACTTCTCTCCAACACATATCAGCGTATTGGAGGTGTTCCAGCCGAGCGCTGAACGTGTTTCTAACTTCCAGCTACTGTATAATGGCGTATTGGCAGCATTTTGGTATTAAGGAGATTCACAGGAGGAAACCGTCAGTTCTCCTCCAGACTTCATCCCCATCATAGGGGGAGCCAGAAGGTGAGGGTGATGGATCCTTCCTGTGTTCACGCCCACCAACAACAAGTCTCCTAGAAGACATGATGCTTTATCTGCTGCCACCAAAAACCTTCCTTCTTTTTATTTATTCTTTTTTTTTTATTTGGCGGTTGGTAAACAGCAGCTAGGTTAATATCGTGATCAAATAAATCTTTTTATGCAGATAGGGCGCTTCATGGCGTTACGCTGCTGTGCGTTATGCATAAGTCAGGCTGTCATTGGAAACAAGTTCTGGACTCGTTATTAATACTTTGTTTATATGCCAAAAATTGAAAAAAATCTATAGAAAGCACATGGCAGTGTTTTAGGAGATTGTTAAAAGTTGGGCATACACTGGATAAATCAGCCAGGTGTGACAGGGCCCTTAGTTTCAGCTCTGAGCCTCAGGTGTTCAGGCCTTTAGGGACACGGAAACGATGCGTTTCTTCAGAGCTCCCATCCAGCTCAACTGCTGCAATAGAAGAAAACACCATGAAAACAGTGAAGATGAGGACCCCTCCAGGTATGTTACTTCCTGCCATCACCCGGCCGGACCAATGAAGCGGCTGCTGATGATGTCATCGCCAGACGTCTATATAGAACATCAGAGGATCTCTAAAGCCCCTCAACAAAGAAGTGCAGAGGGGTCTTCAGCAGCTCTTTCCTGCCGTGTCATGAGGCGTCGGATACAGAGAACCTGTCCCAGTTTGCCAGCGGAGGTTCTGAGTCATCCAGGACACGGCACATTTGGACCTGTCCCAGTTCTTTGACCTAATAAGTGTGGACTCCTGTGACCATGATCTCATGACAGTAGAGGATTAAAAAGCCTGGAAGCGCCTCCATGCGGCTTGTTTACATCGGATGATCTCAATCCATCCAGGATGGACAGAGAGGAGAAGAACGAGATGTTCCTCACCAAGTTTGGTCTTCAAGCTCTTCTAAAGACACTTCCAGCAAAGCTTAGGAGTTTGGACTGAATGTTTTACAGAGAAAAGCAAACGGATCAAAAATCCTAAACCAGGTGGCCTGATTTCTGCCGGTCCAAAACGTTTCAGTAGGACAGCTTTACTGGCCAGGACTGTAGGTTCTGACCTCGCGTGCCGTCGTCTCCTGGTAGAAACGTCCACCCTGGTACCAGAACCACTGGTTTCCCTCCACCGGTCCCATGTGGTCTGATCTCCACCTATTTCTGTCTCTCTAGGTGCTGTCTGATATGACCATACTCCAGCGGAGGATCCCCCCTAGTTTCAGAGACCCTGCCAGCGCCCCATTGAGGAAACTCTCAGTTGACCTTATCAAAACTTACAAGCACATCAATGAGGTAGGAAACAGAAGCAGCTGATTCTGATATGAAGTCTGGTTTTTGACGATCTGTTGAGAGTTTTACGGTCTGCTAATGTGAGCGCTGGTTGTCCAGTTTCGCTCTGAGGAAGCTTTGAAATGAGCTCTTCATGTGATTCTGGGTCAGTGATTCCTAAATGATAAGGTTGTCAGGTTTACTGACGGTCTTCAGATCAGTGATCATTAATGACCTGGATTAAAGGCGGGGCTGCCTAACTTCTGCTCATGTTTACAGGTATACTATACGAAGAAGAAGCGGCGGGCCCAGCAAGTCCCTCCTGAGGATAGCAGCACGAAAAAGGAGAAAAAAGTTTACAATGACGGCTATGATGACGACAATTACGATTACATAGTGAAAAACGGAGAGAAGTGGCTGGACCGCTATGAGATCGACTCACTGATTGGGAAGGGCTCCTTTGGACAGGTGAGAGCATCGGGCGGGAGGGCCCAGAGCAGCCGTTCGCTCCACTGTTTAACCTTAAACTAATGACACCACCTCCGCTTTTCAACCTGCTGCCAGCTGAATAGCAGGCGTTACAGAAGCTGTGGCGATCTCTCTGCACTGAAATGTTGAAGATAATGATTTAAGCCACTTATGGAAATGCAACTCTTCCCAAATTTGGTTTGCTGGTGTAGATCCCAGATCTGCTCTGGTCCTGCTTCCTGCCACTGGCGTTATGCTACATGATTGGCTGAACATTGCCACATGATGTAAATAATGGTGGTTTCCCAGACAACAATAATAACATCACGCAGCAAAGTTCTACCTGATGGATTACAAAACTGAAAAAATATCTTTATGGTGAACAAAGTAACTGCAAGACAATATAAAAAGGGAGAGCTGGGTAGCGCTGTGGCTAGCTGTGTTTAGCAGCTAACAGCTTAGCCTGTTTAAGCTCAGTCAGTTAGCCATATTAAGCTACATAACTTTTAACTTTGCCTTAACGACGAGTTTGTTTTCTGCAAGTAGAATAACTTGTTTTATTTGTCAAAATCTCTACAAAAGTCTTTTTTAAGACGTTCCATTTGTTCTCCTCTGCCCTCAGATCTTAATAGAACGCACTACTTTCCTTCAAGACTGACAATGATTGTTTCCTACTTTCTGCTACTTTAGATCGCAAATGAAATGTAAAATAATAGAAAATATAGGTAATAATATGTTGAGACACCAGAATAGATTTGATCCTTCAGAAACGAGTGCAATAGAGTTTGTCCAAGTGGGGTTGCCATATCTGCCGATCTGGTGCCTACGCCGTCATTTATGGCTCCGTAGAAACCACTGCTGCCACATCTCTTTAGCAGGTAATAAAAACACATGGTCTGTGTTTTTGTTTGTCTCCAGGTAGTGAAGGCCTACGACCACCACGAGCAGGAGTGGGTCGCCATTAAAATCATCAAGAACAAGAAGGCATTTCTAAACCAGGCACAGATTGAACTACGCCTGCTGGAGCTCATGAACAAGCATGACACGGAGATGAAATATTACATTGGTAAGAGAGCATCCAGCATGAGGGGTTTAGGCTGCTTCAAACAGAGCTGGTCGGTGAATGCAGGGTTGACTTCTTTAACTGGGAAGGATTCAGCTGCTGTGCCTCTACTGACTGAAAGCTCTCAGTTAGACGCTGGTTTAAAAATGTAGAACCAGATGAGTTATGATCGCTGCAGCCTCCAAGTTCCTGCCAATAATCTGGCGACTTTAGAAGAGTCCAGTCAGATTGTAAAAGTGGGGACGCCTGAAAAAGGCTCTAAGCTGCTGCTTAGTTTATTTACTGCTTTTAATAACAGAGTTTTTACTGTCTCAGCTTTCTCTGATGATGAGCTTCAATTCTTAAGCTTAAAATATATGAAATCCACTTCAGAGCCTGTTGCTTAGCAGCTTTTCCATGTGGGGAGTTTTATTTTGAGATTAAATTGGATCTGCGGTCAAGGCTCTGTTTTCACCTTTTAGTTTTTCACAGAGTTCAGGTAAAAAAAGTTCCTCCCAGTTCTTGGATTTGGATCCATAAAGGTTTAGCTGCTCCTCAGCTTTTCTAAATCTTTATACCTAAAAGTGTGAAAAAGAAAAAACATCATAGATTCTACCATGTAAGACAAACCAGCATAGAAAAGGTTGTATAACAACAGACAAACCTGGAATGAAAGAGAAACATTCATAGAAAATAATTTGAAGCTGAGAATTGAAAGGATTTGTCCTTTAAAGTGTTTTCCTCACCGACCACTTCATGACTTCATTTGACCCTTTGAACCAGAGTGAGGGCCACTGGCTGCTGGCAGCATCTGAAACTGCCTTACTGGGTTACAGCTCGGTGCAATACTGCCACCTAGTGGCTGCAGCTTGAAACTGTAATACCAGAGCAGCCGACCTGCTGCTTCCATTCACTCAGCTTAGGGCCGTTCCTGGTGCTCTCTTTATGATGGGGGGCTTTGAATCAACTCTAAAGCTCTTTTTCAAAGCATCCACTTTGTGTGGAAAGTTTTTTTTAAACTTGTGGAGCCTAATAAGGAATCAAAGGTTTGCAGCCCCCTTTTTAAAGAGCAGGGGGGCACCTGAAACACACGGGTTAAAACTGAAAAGAAATAATAGATTATAGAACACTTGTATAATTCAAGAATTATTACGAAATGAAGTGTTTTGTATTCAAATTCTGATAATTTTTATAAACCTGTGGACACAGAGAGAGGCGGTTCTAAGTCAGCATTAGAGCTGAAACCATTCCTGATGCTTAACAGTTCTGCCCACCTTGCTTATTGTGTCTCTTAACCTGCATCCTTTTCTCCCATCTATCTTTGTGTCTGTCTGTCAATCTGTCTCTGTGCAGTCCACCTGAAGCGTCACTTTATGTTTAGGAACCATCTGTGTTTGGTGTTTGAGTTGTTGAGCTACAACCTGTATGATCTCCTGCGGAACACCAACTTCAGAGGAGTTTCTCTCAACCTCACCAGGAAATTTGCACAGCAGCTCTGCACAGGTGGGTGGAAGGAAACACAGACCACCTCCTTCAGACTACACAGTCCGTTTTAAACTGAATACAAACTCAAATAAAACCAGAATGATTGAAAGTTGAGATCTGAAATGGTAAAAAAAAAACAAAACAGTCAAACTGAGCAGCTGAGAACCAGAGGACGATATAATCCAGGATGGATGGATGGATGGATGGATG